AAAATGTAAATTAAAGCAGCATTGAGAGTTCATCTCACTCCAGAAAGAATGACTGCCATCAAAAGGTCAACTGATAACAAATGTTGGCAAGGCTGCAGAGAAAAAGGAATACTGTTCCATTGTTGGTGGGAGTGTAGGCTGGTGCAACCACTATGGAAGTCACTATGGAAATTTCTCAGAAGACAAGAATTGGAAGTTTCATTTAATCCAGCTATTCTCCTCCTGGACATTTTCCCAGAAATATTGCAAGTGTCATGTCACAGCAATATATGTGTACCCATGCTTATAGCAGAACAATTTGTAAGAGATAAGTCTAGGGAAACAATCAAAATGCCCATCAAGCACAGAGTGGATGAAAAAGATGTGGTATTTTTATACAACAGAATACTATTCAGCTATAAAAAGAATGATCTTGAGGCTTTATAGGTAAATGGAGGCAACTTGAGACTATCCTCATAAGAGAAATCAATCAGACTCATCTTTGTAAATATATTGTCTCTCTACTGTAACAATAATATAAACTGAAGGAGTAATAAGATCCAAAATGTATAATAGATATTGTAATAATGAAAGGGCAGGAAAGTGCTCTAAAGGATATAACAATATGTATGTTTAAGTGTGTAACATAGATAACCATACTACAAAGTTTTTGTTGGTTTATCAAACAGAATGGTTTCCACTGTCAGTGTTTGACTGTCTGTCCACTTTTTATGCTTTGATTTTGTAACTTGAATGGCGATTGTTAAGATAAAAATACAAAATTTATCAACTAGTGATTTCTCAATGTTTTTTTTGAAATTCTGTATTATTTCTACCCTTTTTTCTGTTTTGCTTTTTGTCTAAGTAAAAAATGAATTGACAACAAAAATAGATTTTATACTCAATGATAATAAAATGTTCATAAGCCAAATCTTTTGACACAGCCTAGTGATTACAAGGAAATTTATAATAATCTAACCCAACTGTTAGAGAAAATGAAGTTCAAAAATTAATGTATCTACCTTAAAAAGAGAAGTTAAGTGTACAGTTATGTTAGGAACAAAACAATAAAGAAATAACTATTCTAATGCAATGGAAAAAAATCTACAAATATTTACTCAAATTAATCCATAGACTTAAAACCTGAATTGAACTATAGGTTGTTTTGCTATGAAAACTAAAAAGCTGATTTTAAAATTAGTATGAAAATGCAAAGAACAAAAAAAAAATGGTAAGTCTCAAACTTATGAATGAGTTCCATTTCAGAAGAATGTTTGTAAGTCAGAGTTATTCCTGACAAAGTCTTATACAACTTTGAAAAGAATATACAATGCAAAGCAAACAAAACAAAACAGCCAAACATACACACACACACACACACAAAATATAGTAAATAAACTATTTTCCTTTTACATTTACCTTAAAATGGTGGTACACAGTACACACAAAAACCAATTTTTACTTTTATAGTTACAGTAATTCCACTTTCGTTTCCATGGTTACCGCTTAGTGCTTCCTGGCGTCCTCTGCACACTACGCTGCCTTTCCTCCTGCTTCCGGACACCCTGGCCCGAGTGAGCGCCGCACCTCTGCACACTCCGCGCTGTGCAGGAGCTCACGGCAGCACAGCTGTCAGGCGTCTGGCAGACATGGAAGCTGCTTCCCCATTTGTTCCCATCTATGGGAATGCGAGGTCTGTTCCTACCCATGAGTACTCACAGCCTGAGTGCTTGTAGGTCAGGGACTTACTATAATATTGAGGAAAGAAAAGAAAAAATGTAGACTTATTCTACTGAGCAGCTAAGCCACTTACAGAGGTACAGTAACTGAGGCAGTGTGGTTTTTGCTCAGAAATAGAATACTGACCAATGGGATAGATCAGAGTCCCAACAGATCTCTGTGTTAAATTAATGGCAGAAGTGACAATGTACTCTGATGAGGAAATCTCTCTCTCTTTTCTTTCTTTTTCTATTTTTTTCTTTCTCTGTCTCTATTTCTTTTTTTCTCTTTCTTCTTTCTTTCTCTCTCTTGTACTGGGAATTGAACTCTTAGCCTCACACTTGCCAGGCAGATGCTGCATTACAGAGTTACAGCCCCAGCCCCAAGGTAAGATTTTACTTAAATAAGTGCTATCAGGCAAAATGGCTACACACATACATCTTAATCTTTATCAGTTATCAAAATATGCATCAATTAGAAATGGATTCCAATCTAAACACAAAAATTTTTAGAAGAAAATTGTAATAAAAGACTTGAAATGTACTAACAATAAAGAAAAGGAAGTATATTACTATTATTATTATATTTAATAGTTTCATTCACCAATTAACAATCTATAGCAAAGATAATTCCAATGCCTCTATCAAAGTACTTATCCACACATACATGCACATATAGATGACAAATAAAGCTGTTTAAATAAATAAATAAAACAACCAAATTAAAAATGAGCAAAAGACTGGAACAAGCAACGCTTGCTTATTAGTTGTGATTAAAATCTAAATTAGACTGAAATAGAAGAAATAAAGATAGAGAAAAAGAAGTCGAATAAATTACAGCTCTAAGGCATGATTAAGGTTCCCAAGTGTTATGGCTTGTGTCTGGAGACCTCCCACAAAGCCTTATGCAGTCATGGGTATGGGTTTTTGGAGGAGGCTGAATCTAGGGTGTGTGATGCTGGGGTTGATTCATGGTGCAGTGCTAGAATTAATGCTGCCCCACGCTGGTGTGAGTGCTACCTGCCCTAAGGGTGGGTAGCTTGGATAAGATATAAGGGACAGTCACTGCTTGTTGCTTATAGCTTATAGCTTGTTGCTTTGCTACCCTTTGCCTGCTGTGAACTTGTTTTCCTCTTCAATGCCCCTCTGACACGTTGTCCTGCCTTGAAGTCAGCCAAGTACAGACCGCGACCTCTACAATCTGTGCACTACAACAAACCCTCCCTTCTTTAGCTTTGGGTGTTGCGTATTTTGTCTCATTAATGAGAAAAGTAACTAGGCCACCAGCTTACTTATATCAATATCATTATTCCAGAAACTTAAGACTCAGTTTGTTCTCTCCTCATATGTTGATTTATTATCTGGCAGAAAATTTATAAAACCAGTTTGCCAATGGCATATTCTGATCAGAAATGAAGAATGAACTAAGACAATTTGGAATTTGTAACAGGGAACTAGAGGCTGGACTTCAAGTTTGACAGCGCTAAAAGCAGGACGAAGCTTAGCATCTCTATTTCAATTTTCTTGCCTCTTTAAAACTTTGTGTCAAATCTCTACTCAGCTTTGCTTGTAGACACCTAATGAGTATATTACAAAGTTTATTGGACTTAAATTTAACTGGTCTTTAACATCTGTCCTCAAGACAGAGTGCATCAAGATAAGACAAACTGATTTTCAGGATGTGCAGGAACATCTGATTGCCAACTTCTGCCACGTCTGGTTTTAGACTCCCCTGGAGGGATGCCTAGAAGTCTTCACTCTTCTAAGCTTATAATCACTTTGCTTTCTAGGAGAAACAGTCTTGAAGTCACTCCATGGTGAAGTTACCTCCTCAGACAGGAGTAATTAATCTGTGATGGGAACCAAGGCTTTTACCATCTCCAAGCAGGAACAACTCCTTGGTGGGAACTGAATTGTCCCTCAAGCCATTGGATTCCTTTATTGTTGAGAGCATGATTCGCCAGTCCCCACCCCACCTCAGTGATCCATGAAGGCTGGTCCATCCAGCTGCTCTGTTATTCTTTTTGAACGGGTTGGTGGAACTCTTCATTAGGATGATCCTCCTCCAAATGTTCCATCTGGAGTCTTCTCCCTAATCACCCTACTTCCTAGCTTTGTCAATCAATCTGCCTGTGCCTCACACTGGCACAGACACATCCAGAAATGCCTTTCTGCCCTGAGAGCTGAGGAACCTTCTCTGTGGGATGAGTCATGTTTCCATCTCTCGTCTAGGGACATCCGTGGACCCTGACTGGGTGACAGCTCTAGCATGCCAAAGTGAAACCACAGAGAGTAGCCAGTGCTACTGAGGTTGGAGCAATTAGAAGCCTCATGCATTTAGATAGAAATGTACGTTGGCATGCAGACTTGGAAAGCTCATTGCCTAATGTAAAATTCAGAAGTCTCACTGCTAGGCATTTACCCAGCAAGGTGGCCTACACATCAAAAACTACATATATGTGCTGGAATGGTTAGACTGCTCTGTTAGTGTGAGCTCAAACTTGGAAAGTTACTCAAATGTCCATGGTTTTAAAAAAAATCATTAAATTTCAGTATTTTACATGCTGCAATACTATATAGTATTGAGGGGAAAAGTCTAGAATGTTAAACAAGAGTTATCTCAGAAAAACAATCGTGATCAGAAGAAACCAAACACAAAAGAGTATTATCTCATTCCATTTATATTTATTTCATTCATATGAAATTCAGAATCAGGTAAAATTAATCAATGTATTTAGGAGTCAGAAAACTGGTTACCTTTGCAAAGGAGGCAAATAGTGATGAGAAAGAAGCAAGACAGGGCTTGCTTTCAGTTTGCTAATCTTTTTTCCTCTAGATTTGGATAGAAGTAACAAAGGTGTGTTTTATGAATACTCACTAAGGTGTTTGCTTATAATTTCTGCACTTTTTTGTATGTGCATTATACATTGTTAATGATTGATTCTAACAATTTTTTATTTTCATGGAAATGTCTGTGGCTAAATTACTTAAAATAAAAATTGACTGATTTGTGCACTAATTTGCCAAAACCTTTTTGTTGCACCTTTAATGATGAAGCCTGCTTCTTTTCTGCCAAAGCAAGATTTTCTACTACCACCTGCTGCTACTGCATTAGAGAGCTGCCATTTCAAACACCACTGGAGGTTCCCTTTCTGCTTGGGGTCCATTTAATTCACACATTAGAATTTCAGTTACCAAAGAATTCCCTTTTTCGCTTTAGAGACTTTTTTTAGTTCTCACTCATTATCTTTAATGGAGATAAAATTGCATCTTAAAGCTTTTTACTAGAAAGCAGGCATAAAGGAAGAAGCTTTAGCAGTCATAAGGGTGCTAAAAGACAGCATTTTATGGAGCCATGTGTTCCAAATGAAACAAGAAAAGCTAAAAGAGTGGCCAGAGGAAAGGAGACCAGTCCTACGAGCCACCTATTCATGTATACCAAAGACACAAAGTGAAGAATGAATGCTTTGTGGATTTGATGCAGGACACTGCGTTTACAGAACACACGGGCAAGTTTCTCCTTCGGAACTTGCAGAGCTACCATGACTCAGCAGATCCCATGCAAGGGCAAACAGAGCAGAGAGAGGCCACCACCAGGGGATGTAACTGCACAGTTCTTCATTAATGAGCATAGTAGCACTTACTCCTGCTGTATTTGCTCATATTCAACCAATAATATCTCCTCCCCATGACCAGAATAGTGTCATTTTCATAAATACTAAGTAGAGTGTTTTAAGGATTGTAATAGCATCATACTGTTACACATTGTCTAATGTTGCCTGAATCATTATACTATTCTTCAGTATGTTTCAACTTACTCCGTAAGTGCTGATAGAGAGGCTAAAACAGATATTGATAATCTCATATTCATAACAGGATTATTCATAATAGTCAAAAGGTAGAAACAACCCAAATGTCTCTTGATGGATAAATGCCACATGGTACACACATGAAATGGAACATTACTAAGCCATAAAATGATAACAAGTTTGGTATATGTTACAAGATGGGTGGAGATGAAAGATATTCTCAGTGAATGGAATTACTAACAAAAAGTCAAATATTTCAAATTCCACTTTTATGACGTTCCTTGAGTAACCAAGTCCGTAGGATGGCGGCTGCTGGTGGGCTGGGAAGAATGATGCTCTGGTACACAGTTTTGGCTGGCGAAGATGAAGAAGCTGTGAGATAGACAATGGGGAGACCACACAATAGCGTAAATGTTTGGATGCCATAGGAATGTGCTCTTAAAATAGTAAATTTTAAAACATCTCAAAAATTCTGTAAACAATTCTTGTTCTTCCCCCAGAATTTCCTGTTTTGATCATTTGGCTCCCAAATACAGAATGCTAAACATTTCACCTGTGGAAAAGGAAATATGTTTTATTATGACAATGCCTCAGAAAAGAGACATTGGGCTCTATGTTGGCCCCACAAGAAGCTGTTGGGCCTCACCTGGCCTTGTGCATGGTAGACAGAGCGAAGAAACAGTCACAGTATATACAGGGTCAGAGGAGACTTAGAGAACAAACGTGTCTTCTGCAACTGAGCAATGTCTCATGGAGCTACTTCTTTATTAAAAAAATTAAATTCACATTGAAAGGAGAATGTAACACTTTCAATGATTGCAATTTCCCTCCGATGTCTCTGTTTTCTGCTAGACAGTAAACCCCATTCACTGCAACCTGTTCCCTGTAAGTGCTCCCTTCACACCTGGCTTCTCTCTCCTATTCATGCATAAAGTTCCTGCAGACTCACAGGATAGAGTCCAAGCTTGATCCAAGGGTAAAGTTCATCACAGTCTGGCCTCAGACTTTTTCTTAGGTGTCTCTCAATGCTGGCCCGTCACACCATAGGTTCAGACCATGACACCTGCTTTCAGCAAGGTCTTCTCTCTAGCATGCTGTACCCTTTTATCAGGATGTGTTACTCCCTCTCTAAAGGACAAAGTTCCATGCTTCTTTGAGACAATTCAATTATCCTCAGCTTCATGAGGCTTGCTGTGCTTTCTTTCCCTGCTCTGTCTATTTAGCAACCTGCCATGACTTTACGTGACCTTCTGTGGTGATTACCATAACATGCAAGGCACACTTGTTCACGTATATGTTTCAGCTTTGAAACCAGAAGATTCTCCAGAGGAAGGCAACAATTGTATCCCAGCCCTGGCACTGTGCCTGGAGCAGATTCTCAGAACCTCATTTGAACACACGAATGAGTAATGAGTGTAGGGATAAACAAAAATTAAGACATAGGCTTCTTTGTTGTGGATTTCACCAACTAAACACAGAATGTTGTGTTTAGAGGTTAGAATGAAGGTAAAGATTATTTCCAACAAAAAAGGCATAGTTTCTGTAGTTAACCAGTTGAATATCAACCCCACTTTTAAAAATCACCTACTTTGTATCTACAAAACAGGGTTAACCATTACAAATGTGAGTTTTTTGAAAATGAGTTCCCATCAATTAACTACTTCAAAGATGCTAACTAATAAATTATCTTCACTATATAAAGTAAAAATAGTATCCTGTACTACTTTTTTTAAAATAGAAAAGAATCTTTCTCTATATAGAACATGTGTGATAGGAAGTAAGTGGTGTGGTTTCTACACACAATCCTGTTATGTCCCTAGAACCATTTGGCCTGGGATACAAAGGTGGAAAGAAACCGAGTTTTATGCACATGCACGATCACACACAGTACACTCTTGTGTAAACCAGGCAGTGACAAGTTACTTGGATGGCTGAATCAAAACTGGCCCACCAAACAAAATTTTGCACTGTGTTAGAGAGCATTAAGACTGCTGGGTTTTAAGGTTTTCCTTGGCTTGAATTCACTCTAACACCACCCACCTCTCTCCAGTTGCAATATTCTAACCAGGTCACCTAGATGCTGTGAAACAGATGTTCATTGACAGAAAAAGGAAATAGGTGGTGTCCATTGAAAAGTGATAGCCACGGCAGAGGAGAAAGTACATTTTTATCTACAATGAAAGCTGAATGTTATTGGAAAGGCATTGGAAGCACAGAAATATCTAGATCTCCATGAATCTGCCCCAGTTAGTAAGCTCTTCGGTATACTGAGAGGTGAGAAAATAGAGGGGCAGAGTGTTTAGGTCCTCTGATGTTTGGCCTTGCACCTTTTAGCTACATGGTCTTGGCCAAAGCGCTTAATCTTTCATTTCAATGTCTTATCTATAAAACTGACATGAATTGATACATACAATTCAGTACATAGCACTGTTAGTCATTACTGCTACCATAACTGACTTTATCTAGAGGGATGCCATTGCCCATCTGGACTGGTAACTGATTTAGCCAGGAGTTCTAACAAAGAAACACAGTGACCAGTGCTTCGTCACTGGACTAGAATTCTGCACTACTTCTCAGTGCTAAGACTTGTACTTAGAGAGGCCAGGGAAAGCAGATGGCAAATGCAATCACACTTTTGATCATCAAGCCATCCCCCAAATTTTTCGAATCTGAACTTTACCAAGAATGTTCATGCCTGTGGGCTGATTGCCCATCCCCTGGGAACTGACCAGGCAAACTTTAGCATTTCAGTAGAACTGTAACTTGGCAATGCTGGGCTTCTCCACTAGAGTTCCAGATTCCTTCCTGGAATATTTCTCCCCTGCATTTTGTAACTTTTCTGAGTATTCATTCAACACTTCTTTTCTTGTGAAATACTTTCTTTTAGTGAGAACGTCTTACCTGGGTGACTTGTCCATCTGTTTTATAATTCAGAGTGTGTGTATGGCAGAAATAGACCTCTGACATCATATTAGGATATGTTCTAAAACTAAGCCACTCAATTGTCAAAAGTAAGAATTAGCAATGTGGACTCAGAAGTTTATCTATTTGCAAATTTATTGTTTTATAAATTTTAATTAATAAAGCTACCTCAAAAAAACTGCTCCCACAATCTCTCTGTTGGAACAGATAGCAGTAGAAACCAAGAGCCACTTGAGCCCTCTTCTCAGTGAAGCTAACCTGTGTTTGTGCATGTCCTTCCATGTCTTGAACATTACTAACTCTGCCATATCCGTTACACACAAAAGCAGTGAATTTCAAAGCACAGGCTGGATGATAAAATCAATTTTGATATAAAATAAGTAATTTCTTCTATTTTCCTAGTGCCAGCTTCACGGTAGATGCATTTCCTTTTAGAACAAGGTCATTGTATGTGTGGCACAGTTACCAGGCAGCACAAGATAGCAGCAATCCTGAAAGAAACTTGTGAGGTGTGGCTTCAAATTGCCCAGCCCACTGACTATGCTCAGTTTCCGCCCATCTGAAGCAGACACTGGATCCTCTGGGCTGACAAAGCAGAGATCATAGTGTGGGGGATGCTGTGGACTCTGATATCATTCATCCCAGTTGATCTTTGGCTGGAGACTGGAGCAGTGGGCAACTACAGTCAAAATATCTTTGATATTTTGCACCCCTGCCCACTAATTGTCTTATTAATTTCTTAGCCAATCTAGAGAATGCTTTGTCTGGAATATTCTCTCCCAGGTAATGCTGCTGAAGTGTGTTCACTTGTTTACTAATTAGAGTATTCTTTGTTATATCCTCATTTTACTGATTATATAATTAGACTCTACATTGAATCTTTTCTGTTCACTGCTTATATTTTGATACACAATATTTTATCCAAATATGTTATTTGTGGGAGAATAGGACGGAAAGTAGTAGAGTGATTCTGATCAACAGTGAAGTCTCTCATGTCAGAACAGTATATTTGCTATGCTTTTCTTAAGGGAATATCTATGCTCATCTTCTTAAAATTCCTTCCACATCCTTTTTAAATTCACACTTCAAGGTAAGAAGATGGCTCATCAGCAATCCAAATTGATTCTCCCTGGAGTTCAGTAGTAACAAGATCTTTGGTTTGCAACTTACTTTATATTTCCATTCTGGTGGCAGATACACATCTAATGATTACTATTCTCTCCTCTTCTGCTTGGTTTAGAGTTAGAAGCTTAACAAAGAAAAATGAAAAGACATGACTCTTACGCTTCATCCAGATTCTTCCTGCTGTGTCTTAGATAGAGTCAGATCCATTAGCTTATTTCAAACTGGTCCTTTGGATAGCTGCAAAATGTTAGTTTCTGGGATGGCTTGTATCTACAAACCTCACCTCCCTACCCTCAAATCTTCATGCAGTCATAGGGAGGCTTTTTGGAGGTGGCTGGGATTAAGGGTGTGATGCTGTGCTTAAGCTTTCTCCACCCTGGGTGTGAGTGGCACTAGTCAATAGGTTTACAGCCTGAATAGAATACAACTCACAAGGCAATGTATATACTGTGAGCTGAAATAAACCTTTCCTCCTTTAACTCTGGAGGACAAGTATTTTGTCTCAGCAATGAGAAAAGTAAGGCAGTTTATATCTGAAAACATTTCATTAAATCCAATAGACAGTAACAGATTTCAGTGAAAAACTGTTTTACTTTGATGAGGAAGGAAAAATAAGACTCATAATGAGCCATAAAGTAGCCAATAGGAAGAGACCAAAATAATTGAAACACATGAAAATGATATAAGTAGCAGACAAAGATGCTAAAAATATGGCAACGTGCAAGGAGAAATATAAAAGGTAAGAGAAATGACAATATAAAGGAAAACTGGATGAAATCACATAACTTATACAGTATTCGAAACTGGAATTGCCTGTATTGGATTAAATAACTTACACTTGAGAGACAATGAAAGAAACTAACCAAAATAGGAGGAATCTCTTGTGGTGAATTAGTGCTAACATCACTCTTAAGATGATTAGCGCATGTCACCAGGATCTGTAGGTACTCAGCAATGGGAGCAAACAAACAAAAACCAAAAACCAAAACCAAAAAACAAACAAACAAGCAAACAAAACCCCTGGACATGGGAAGGGTACTTGAAGAAAATGTCCACCAGACTATACCCAGGATTAGAAGTGTTTAGGGGAAAAATCAGGGTTGCTTCTCAATGAGCACCCTACTCACATGTCAGCTCCAGTGAACACCCAATCTTGGGGAATTATCTACACCTGAGGGGACAGTTGAAGGAAGCCACCTATGTGGTTGAGTGGTTATGTCAATAAAGTTTAGAAGCTTAAATAAATCAAATCAGCAATTCTACATCCTAGGGTATAGAGGACACACCCTAGGGTAGCGCATCGCTTGGATGGTATAAAGGGAAAT